TATGTATGTATATGTGTTATATAACGTCGTATGTATGTATATGTGTTATATGTACATATTTTATGTATCTGTCGCTGATAATTCCCTCGCAAATCCGTCGCTAAAAATCCCTTGCAAATCCGTCGCTGATAATTCCCTCGCAAATCCGTCGCTSAAAAATCCCYCGCAAATCCRTCGCTGATAATTCCCTCGCAAATCCGTCGCTGAAAAATCCCTCGCAAATCCGTCGCTGAAAAATCCCTCGCAAATCCGTCGCTGAAAAATCCCTCGCAAATCCGTCGCTGATAGTTCCCTCGCTGATCCGTCGCTGAAAGTGTCCGTCGCAAATCCGTCGCTGAAAGTGTCCGTCGCAAATCCGTCGCTGATTTCCCTCGCAAATCCGTCGCTGAAAGTATCCGTCGCAAATCTGTCGCTGAAAGTGTCCGTCGCAAATCCGTCGCTGATTTCCGTCGCTGATCCGTCGCTGAAAGTGTCCGTTGCAAATCCGTCGCTGATTTCCGTCGCTGATCCGTCGCTGATAGCATTACCTACGACATTTTGACCGACGGAGTATCAGCGACGGATCAACGACGGAAAGCACTTTCAGCGACAGATCAGCGAGGGAATTTTCCCTCGCTGATACCCAGCATTTTTGTAGTGTAAAATCGGTAGCAGAACTTTCCTAACCAGATAAAACATAGATAAATTTCATGTCTCGAGTACATCCATAAATACCATAATGATCTATTAAGATCTTACGCACCATTTAGACCAAGTATTACCCACTAAAGTTAACCAAGACTATTCATGTCGCATTTAGAACAAATTTGATCCATTTGGACCAATTAAGAACGATAATAGCCCATCAAAATAAAAATAAAGACCATTTTTCATTTTGTTTAAACATTGTCTATACCATAGCATATCACTAAAGGATTTCTCATAGACTAATCAAAAATTAATTTTTTAAAATAAATTTGTCGAAAATCCGTCAGGATGATTGCCTTTGGTTACCTAAACAAGCAACAGAGATCCTAAAATGTCTAGAGGAATCAAAAGCTAGTTTACGATAACTTGTTTGATCAAACGATTGATGCATTCGTATACATGATAAAAGAACGTTGGAAGAGACAGAACAACCGATAACACTACAGAAGCAACCAGTCATGAGATTACAACCGAAATCTTGTAAAAAGGTTTCGTCAATGTTGGAAGAAGAGTTGAGAATGATTTTTCAATCAAACAAAATTAATGTTATATATAATACAAGTATTCATCATAATGGTCCCAAAATTAAACAATTAGAATTGTTCACCAAATATTTATCGAACAAGTACAAAAAATCTGATACATATTTACAAGAATATATGAAGGGCGGTGGATAATATAATATTTTTAAGGTGTAAATAAATAATTTGCATGAACAATTGTGCCGTTTGAAATGATATCACTGAAATCAAGACAAAATTAATTATTCATTAATGAATAATGCAGCAATCGGACAATATTGAATCATTAAAATAATAATAAGTACCAATTGCATACTGGAATCTTCATAAACTAATCATCCGATCCTTGTTTCAAAAGCTTGCATCATCTGACAAAAAACACAATCCCCCAATCTAACTAAGATTTCCTCAATTCATCAATTTTTAAAATCAAATTAATCTTTCAAACCCCACTTGTTGGACAAAATGTAATCAAATAATCCGACCCGGAACAAGTGAATGTACTGGATGCATCGTCATATGCATAGCTGTATGCACTCGGGCATGCTGCTTTGAACATCACCGAGAATTGAGTCGGCGAACATGTCGCCGGAGTTGCATGATCCCCCGTGCAACAGAACTCCGGCACGTTGAATGCATCACATGCACTCTTGCAAGCCACCACTACGCCATTGCCGTCGAGAACTCTCAGCTCGGTCGGGCAGTTGATGTTCAGGTCTGCGATGCACCCGGCGTACTGGCAATCGCCGGTACCACCTGTCGGTTTTATACCGATGCCAACATTGTAACCGTCGACGAGGCTGACGTCGTAAAAGTCTTTGTCGCTGTTGCTGATGCCGCCGGCAATGGTGAATTCAGCTAAGGAAACCGGCGTTGCACCACCACCGCTGCACTTAAGAATACTGTCGCAATCACCGGTTTCGCACTTACCGTTTCCAAACTCGTCGAAGTTGCAACCGGTTCGGGCCCAGAACCGGCCCGACCAGCCTGGTGTAGCAGGAAACTGAACAGAGGCGCCAGGTGGCAATGAGAATCCGCCGTCGCCTAAGGCAGTACCGTCATTGCCGGAAAGCGTCCCCGGCCAAACTGTATAGCTACAGCTGTTCTGCAACGTAAACACGGTTGCCGAAACTTTGTCTCCTGCAAATCACGAGCGAATGAATAATATTATGTTAGTTACATCACACTACTTCCGTCTTGGTTCCATTCGAGTCCCAGCTCAGCAAAAAAATCGATTTCACAGCACCAGAAACAGAAAAAATGAGAGTAAATATCATAAATCAGGTACCTGATCAACGAATCTAAAAATCAAATAACTGCGATGATGCTAAAAGGCCTGATTATACGGATCGCACATAGTGCAAGTAAGATATCACATCACTACCACGAGAACCAGTTTGGATGCACAGACTTCGAAAATCATCGATTTTGTTAGATTTTTCAGTTTAATTGACGCCATTGCACAAGTGAACAACATGATGAATGATGAGAATGGTGAATTAGCTGAAATACGAAGCTGAAGCGACTGATATGAGCAGCTAATAACTCGCAACGGTCCAACAGACAACAAATTAACATCAATGATCAAACAAACAGTTGCCTCAGTACATTATTCTAATAAAACATGATCAGAAATTGAAACAAAGGAAGTAATCAACAATTAGTCGAAAAAATTACCTAAAAGGAAGATAGCGAGAAGTAGAAGAAGAGAGAAGGCGCTTCGCATATGAATCTCCATTTAAGAAGACGAGAATGATGATGAAGGAAGGAAGGCAGGCAGAGAGATTTGGCGATGTATGTATGTGGAAAGATAGTGGGGAGAGTGGGGGATTGCAGTTAGGTTGGTGGAAGTTTATAGTGTGCCAGCGTTCAGCGGATCCTTTTCCTCTTTTTAAGCGTAAATATTTATGCTTTTCGAATTTCGATCATACAAAAACTCACCCAATATAGAGACCATGTTTTATGTTTTTTTTTTTTTTTTAATAAAATCACTTATTAACATATTATAAGTAAGGAATGTTTAACTTTTTCAAAAATTTCTTATTACCGGTTTGACACCGGTATAATTTGTTTATCCAAACACTCAAAAGTGCTTATTACCAGTGTCACACCGGAATAAGTCAATAAGTAATTTTTATAAGCAATCCCAAACACCCCCTAAGACGACAATCTGTTTTGCAGGTAGTCCGGAGTCACCATATTTGAATCTCCGTGGAGAAAGAATCTTAATAAGTTCAAAGAAGAAGCATATTTTATCCAATAGCAAAGAGCTTGAACCAAAGATTTTCAAGTGAACTAGGTAAGGTATTAGTATATCTAATATATAATTTAAATATAAAAAATTGTTCTCTAAAAAAGAAAATATTGAATGAATTGATCGTAAATTATCGGATTTGACTACCCCTTTCTTTTCCAGGGAAGATATTAATCATAGAGAAAATGTCACAAAAGTATTTTTATTTCTCCTAGATTTGAACCTGAGACCTTCAGACATTTTTTATCTCTAATATTATCACGGGAAAATTGCACCAAAATGGAACCAACTTTCACCTGATTCCTATTTTGGGGAACCAACTTTCAAAATCGTCGTTTAGGGGTCTCTATCAAACTTTTTGTTTATTTAAGGGTCTGATTGATCTGTTGAACATGTAACAGGTAATTTAAGGGCTTTTATCAAACTTTTGATTTGATTTGCCAAATTTGATTTAAACTTTAATATTGATACGGATTGGTTAGATATAAAAATCTTGAATGTGATATTTAATATTTATTTTTTACTGTATCAATTAATTTTTTCTATTAAATTGATTTTTTATTGCATTAGTAAAAAACAATTTTTATTGTGGTAATTTGGATTTTTTTTAAATCTTTAATTTGATATATGAATTAAAAAAACGAGATTTGAAATAAAAAATAGATTTTATCACATTAATTTTTGAAAAAAAAATAAATTTTAGTTATTTTTCTATAATTATTTTGCAAGTTGGTTCCCAAAATAGGAATCAGGTGTAAGTTGGTTTCCCAAAATGACGATTTTGAAAGTTGGTTCCCCAAAATAAGAATCAGTTGAAAGTTGGTTCCATTTTGATGCAATTTTCTCTATTATCACCAAATTTAATATTAATGTATAAAATTACAAATTGGTTTTTAAAGTACGAGATTTATGTATTTTTACTTTATTATACTGTGTATTGTAGTTGTTACATATATTATATCATAAATTAGATTTATATTAGTTTTTTCAAGTTTTGGTAAATTTAATTCTTATGTGTGCAACTTATATAAAGTTATCGTAAAATAGGATAATAATATAATTTATTACATTATTGTAAAAATATAAAATACATGGTATAATTTGTAAAGTTAATAAATATAAAGATATTATTAAAAATTTATGAATATATTGACAGACAAACTGTTTATGTTTTGTAAAAGTTAGGTTACAAAATAAAATAACAAGTTGAAAAATTATCCAATTTTTAAAATAAAGGACATAATTGGAAAAAAAAAAAAAGTGGGAAAAAAAAACCTTATAGCTAAATTTTATCTAAAAGTGACTTTTCAAGAAGCTAATTTATGGCTTATTCAATAAGACATCTTGTAACATCCATGATTTTAGGTTTCTGTTTGGGGTCTATTTGTGACTGTTTGGCATTCAAAATGATATCGAAATGAAGGTTTTATACAACTTTCATATTGGAATACTTGGGGGGTTGGATCGGGCAAGAAAACAAAGTTTTCGCATAAAATTGGGTCTTATGCGACGTGACCTAGGTCGCGACAGAGGTTGCGTAGGCCACTGTGTTGTTGACCTCAGAGACATGGGCGACTAGCCATGTAGCTTAAGTCACGGGCTATGTAGTGGGAATACACCTTGTATTTCTAAAAGATCTGATTTTAGGGTTTTATCTCATTTCTCTCCTTGTCTTCCCTCCTCTCATCTTGTGGCGACTTCGGAGGCTTTTGGGTATATTTTTGGAGGAGATTCAACTTGGATATTGTAAGGGATTGAACCTAGATTTTGCAAGTTTGAAGTAGTAAGTCTTTTGAGCATTATGAGATCTATATTTGGGTTTTTAGTGGGTTTAAAGCTTGAGTCAACGATTGGCTTGATTAATAGTTTTGAGAAGTTTTCTTGGTGGGATTGACTTATGGATCTCATATCATCTTTTGGAAGCTAGAGATGGGTTTGGAACCTAGTAAGGTGAATTCAAGTTGTTTTGTAAAAACTGTGTACATGCCAAAAATGTCAATTTTGGAGTCTTAAGATGTTTTATTGATATTTATCGAATGTGTTGATTTTATGATGAGATTTACTTCTTTAGTACATTTGATTTTATAAATATTAAGAAACACATACATTTGGGTTTTTTTGGATATTTGATAAATAGATCATAAAATTTGAGGGTTTTGATGATTTGTTTGTCATATGATGATTATTAAATGTTAATGCATGTTGGTATATTGATTTTATAAATCATTCAAATAATATGCATATTTTAGTTCTGTTTGAAGTTATGGTATTTTATAATATTTATTAAACCCTTTAAGTTCATTTTGGAGTTTAAGATGAATCATTTTAGATTAATCCAACAAATGGGAGAGCTTGATGGCTTGGATTTGATATAAATACTCGTTCTGGGATTTTGCCTGACCTTTGAGTTCGTGGTGTTGATTTGCAAAATTTCTAACGTATAAGTTTCTTAAATGTCAAGTATTTGCATTTTATTGGTTTATGTTGACTTTTATTGATTAGTCAAACAAGTCGTTGAGTATTTGGCTTGGTGTTATCTCAGGTGAGTTTTGGGGACATTTGTCCGGTTTAAATTGCTCTATGTTAAGCTTTGAAAGTGATAATGCAAAATAAAATATGTAATTGATTTATATTATTAAATTATATATTTACTTATGTAAAATGCATTGATTTAAATGAATGTAATTTAGTTTGATGATTGTGATTTTTAAGTAAATTGAAGGGAATAAACCTTTTCGTACATTTTGTCTTCATATGTTATGTAATCATTAACTTTTCAAATTGAAATCATTCATGTAACGTTTAAAATTTTGAAACTTAAATATGTTGTTTTTTTATTTACTAGAAGCGTACTCGCACAATGCAGCGAAATACATCATGATTTTAATATTTCATTTTATTC